CTGTTCCGCGATGAAAACCAGCTTTAAGCAACGGCGTAGTCGAACGGTGTAAGTAATCCTACAATTTTTTGTTTATAGCATAGTTTATACAGATTATTCCCAAAAAATTATACGTATTTTGGAAATGTTGAGTGGAATTAGTCTAGAATCGGTTAATTTTATAGAAGAAAACCTTTCGAACAGCCTTAGTCCGTAAAGTTCCCACCTATCGGGCTGCGATTGGCTCATTCCTACAACGTAATTTTCGGTTAGCGTGGAACGTATCTAAGCGTTATAGGGGGGTCTACTGTATTTATTTTAATAAAGACTAAATCGAAACACGCGGTATTTACGCCACTATAATTTATATTTTCAGATATATTTTCTGCAGCATTACCTAAAGCCATCTTCGAAAAGGTGGAACCGGGTGTTAAACGTCGTCTTTCGGAAGAAGCCGAATCGATAATCCTCAAATACGCCACCGAAAACAAACGCGGCGAAATTTCGGCCCCGTTCGAAATTTTTCAGGTTTCGGGAACGAAGAAAATACAATAAAACTCGCGATTAAGTCTACAATATACACAGATTTGTACTTTATAAGACCGCGTACGCGCGGTGTATTTTATACTTCGGTTTTTATAGTTTCGGTTTTCCTTACTCCAGGAATAAATTGGCTTTCTTATAATGTGAAAAATGTACAAAAAAAGAGTTTTGTTTGGCGGAACTTGGGCTCCAATTCCCACTCGGGCCATTCCGCGGTGGACCTAATCGAATTCGTAAGTATAATTAAAACGAGAGCTGGCCAAAAGCACGATTACGTCTCGTGAATTTACCTATAGTAGGTGAATATTTTTGAACCAATGCGTTTAGGGCTAGTTGTGGTCGTCGCCGCCAATGTACACGTCCGAGATACACGAAATTAATGGGCGAGTCTGAATTATAAAGATTTCGGGTTATTAAAGGAATCGTAAATGTAATCTCGAGGAAAATAAACTTACCTTAGAAGGGATTGTGGTCGCGTATAAAAATAAACCTATCGGGCCTATTCCGGACAAAAAACACGCAAACATTAAAGCGATAGATTTTGAGGTACACGTCCCGTAAAGTAGCGCTTAAATATACGAAACGCGCGCAACGGGAACGATTACCGCGATTATTACGGCCGTACCCGTTTGATATACAGTAGTTTATCGACGAATTTAATAAAGTAAAACATAGAAGATAATTGGAATAACGTCTCTTTGTTCTTCGCTTCGCCTCCGACCGAATTTCGTTTTATTTCCGAGGACAACGTTCCTAATAACTCGGTGGCCGGGAAAGTAAGAATACGGAATAAGACGGAGCCGAAAGAGATGCCGCGGATGGCAGATAGAATATTTCCCCAAGGACGGAGTAGTTGTATCCGAAAAAGTTCCCGCAATAAGTATACCGGCGCGCTTTACGCCTTCGTCCGCGAACTCGACGGCCTTTATTACGGCGCGGGTATTTTTGTCGTAAATGTACAAATACCGCGGAGGAATGAGAATCGTAACCCACGCTACACACCGCGCATTTTGGCCGACGATTTTCCAAACTTTCGGGATGCCGCGAAGTTCGAATTTCACCAAAGCGATGGAAATATCTTCGGACAAGAGGAAATATACGAGAAACGACGATAAAAAATACCCTGGAACAGCCAATATTTCATGCCGCAGACCGTCTTTTTGCCGGGGTATAAATATGCCAAAAATACGTAAAATTGTCAAATAGGGATGGATAATTCCATAATGGAATTTGCCACGTTCTCCGTCACGTGAAAGACGCGTTACGCTACTACCAATTTCGCAGACGGCGAATACTCTCGATGGTAGAGGGTAAACCATTTTATAATCGTGTTAAGTTCTTAAAAGTGTTTGGTTTTTACTAAATTACCAAATAAACGACGTTGGCTTTAATGGAAAACGAACTTGTATCGAGTTAACGAAAAATGTATGGTTATGGATTCTATACGCGGATTAGTAAACACGGGATGCTTTCGAAGCTCAAACGGCAAAATGACGTTCTTAGACTTTTATATAATACGGTAAATTATCGTTCTCGCGTATAGAATAAATCGCGAAGATTTAACGGGGCTCCGGGCCTTAAGTCTTCCCATCGACGGGAAAAACATTAAAATTTGCCTTCCAACTTCGAAGCGTTGTTTAAAAACATTTGCCGCGGCCAATAATCGCGGACCTTTTCCGTTCAATCCGCGCGTGAATTAAAGTATTTATTAATTATTGATATACTGTATTTTTAATTTTGAGTTTGCCTGGCTTTTGCGTTTTTCTGGATCCGACGGCGATAAGAAGAAATTTTACCTTTACTCCAACTTTTACTCGTCGTTTACGGCGTGTTTCTATCACCTGTACGGTACGTCTCGTAGTATAATTGTTTCGTTTCGATTAAATCTTTTCGTGGCGTCGCACCGGATCGAATACGAAAAAGTCGGCCCCCGTTGTGGGCTGGCAAAACCCATCCCGTTTGTGCCGGCAAATGCCAAGAGGTTTAAAAATCTTATCGATTATGTTGTTTTTTTTTTTGGAACTCGAAATCATTAAAATCGCTTTTCTTGCTTCTTAATAGTGTTTATGTAAGTTAACATTGTTTGTTTTTGCTTTAAACAGAATAAACATTATTAAGCTGCGAATTAGACTTAATGCGTGAATAATTCTTCGAGAGTTAAGTTTAAATTATCCGACAGGCAAAGTAATTTTCTCGTTTTTATGTAGTGTCGTCTACATTCGAAGATACTTCGCGAAATCAAACAACGCGACAATCAATAAAAACGCTTGGCACTAAATTTAAAGGGCCCGCTCTCCAATAATATGGGTAACTGGTCCCTATTTAAGTGTTACAAGCCACGAGAAACTACGAAAACTTCGCACGGCCGGGCGCCAACTTATATCCACTACCGGTGTTTCTTCCATTTGGCCTCGAAGAATTATCACTTACAGACCTCTACCTCTTCCGTAATTTACTCCGTGTTATGGCCGAGGAGGGACTGGCTCCGAAATGGATTCCACAATAAAGACATTCGTACATACGTGGGAAAGAAACGTTTCTTTTCCATTTGGTCTACGTGTCTCCTTGTTTCGGTGTAAGAAGTCTGATATTAAACCGAGATTTTAGAGTCATTACACGTACGAGGTTATAATTACTTTGGATTCGAATAGCCCGAAACGATTAGATTTAGGTAACGGATAATTTCTCTGTTAGGATCATTTAAATTTGAGTGTAATCTGCATTTCTGTATTTTATTAATTACAAATTAATGCGCGCGAGTGATTTCATTTCGTCGCACGTAATTCAAAATTTTACGCGAACGACGATAACTTTCGAAAATTAGTACCTGTACCTTCTCTCGGTTCTTACGGATTCGACCTTCGCCCATTGTTAAGGTTCCAAAGACGTTTTACAGTTTACGATAAAGTAAACAATACCGTACAACACATTTACTGCGGTCAGCTTCTCGCTGGCCTTCGCTGCCGATAAACGAGCGAAGACAATGGATCGGTTACTAAACAACATTACGATATCGCTTGTTTCTGGAACAAAAAACTAGTTATCTGCGATTAATACAAATGGACTCTACCGCAGTAAGTCGTACAACAAATACTAAACCGGAGACGTAACGAAAGCTCGCCATTGCCTTGGTCAGAGTTTTTAATAAACCAGTGACGGCTATCGACCGATTGAAAAATAACGGTTGGAAAAATTAGAAAGTTCGTAACGTCCATTAAGACGTTGTATTTTTACTATTTTAATTAAACTTGCATTTATTAACAATTTTACAAAACATTTTGTTCGAATACAATACAGAAATTACGATAAAATAAAACTTCAAAATTTACTGATTTTTACATATAATGCGCGTGTTTACATTTTATTGAATGTTTTTTCAAACAAATGGAACAACGCAATCATTTTCGTCCCTTTTCGTTTTATCGTTCCTTCGTAGAAAATATTATTTAAAATTCGTATTATTACGACATTTAATAATACGACGATTTAAACCGGCTTTAAAAGGGAACTTTTGTACGCAATAATTACACGGGAACGGCTTCCGCCCGATGCGAAGACGAAGACGTTCGATCAGATGACGTTTTTGCTTAAAACTTGGTTTGAAAATTCGACAAGCGAAAGGCTTCTCCCCCGTGTGAGTTCGAAGATGCCGGATCAGATTTCCTTTTCGCGTGAAACTCCGTTGGCACCGATGGCGAGTAAAGGGTTTTTCTCCGGTATGAATATGGACGCGCTTACTTAAATTGCTGGAATAGTTGAACTTACGATTACGGTATGGGCAAGACGGGAGCCCTTCTCCGGGGTGAATCCTTCCATGACATTTTAATCCTTCCTTCGAAATGAATTCTTTCTCGCAGCCGCCACATCGATACTTCCCGTTCCTCGTTTTATTACCAGAGAAATCTGTAAAATATAAATAAAAGTATCAAAAGTGACGATTTAGCTTAATCAAATACGTAAAATTGTAAACTCGAGTGCCCTATTTTATAAAATATTGTCAAAACTTGCCTTTGCGGGTAGAAGATTAATTTGAATTTTCTCGCGAGTTTTCCTTAAACTGAAGTTTAGGGGTTACCACCTACTTCGACGATTGCCTCGCACCGCGTAAACCAATTGCTTTCCGATGTTTACAATTATAACCAACAAGCATAAATACTATCACAAATTATATCATTTATACGTAGAAATATATTTTTCTGGAAACGATTGATACGAAGAACGTTTTGCAAAAACTTTTGGATAATAATTTTAAAGAATCTTCATTCGATTTCCTCTTTTCCTTCGTTTGCGACAAATGCGTTTTCTTGCCATTTCTTCAATTTAATCTTCCGTAAACAGAAGCCGAACGCTCTCGTGTTTTCCGGGAAACAATTCCTCGGTTATTACACGGGAGTGTCTTCCTTTGGTCGACGGTGAATCTGCAAATAAAAAGTTGGCGATAATAAAAGTTAATATACGAAAGTAAAAATATTGTTTTTACTACATTTGTAATTACTGTATAGTACAGAAAAATGGCGGAATATAATCATTGTCTTCGTATCAATGTACTGTACAGTACGACGTATACGATCGTAACTTGCATAATACCGTCGAAACTTCGCTAGCGGAGCCACTCCACAGTTCTCTGGAGTGGCGACGAATCTTCCCATCGGAACGGTTAGGGCGGCGGCCAACGATTAGCGGCTACCGACACACGCGCGCAGTTCGCCGAACACTCGAGGACTCTCTTCGACTCGTCGACCTCTCCCTTTTTATTAGGGGGTGGCCCTTGGGTTTTTCCCGCGGCCACATTAGGACTTTTTTCGTCGCCGTCCAATAGTTGATTATTTTTTCTCTTTAATAGATTCCGGGTGACACACGAGGAAGCCGCGTCACCTCCGAAAGGAAGCGAATCCGGTGAAGTTACGATCGTATCTCTTTAGATTTTTATCGAGTGAAAAACAAGAGTTTAAAATTTTTCTTTTTTATACATGATTATTCGTTGTTTCGCTTTATTGAAAAGCGAACAAGAAAGTTGAAAAACCCAATTGATAAGTGCGGGCACTCGCATCATCTCTTTTGTTTTTTACATAGAGAATCGGTAATTTATCCGGTCGCATTAC